CACACACACTCAGGTTCTCCCTTGATCGACTTGCCAAGGTGAGTTTTGGTCCTATACAGGGTTTCTCCTTCCCTCTCTGCCTCCCTTGTTTCACTTCACATCCTAATAGTCTGGTTGCCATGACTACCATGCCAGCGGCCTTTTTCTGTCTCTCTTCACTGGGCAGGACACCCGGGGCTGGTCATCCTGCTGATTACATTGTTGGGCTTTTGAAGTTTGTGTGTGTGTGAGTGTGTATTCTTACCCCTCTCTGTGAGTGTGTGTCTGTGTTGGTGCAGGTCTGTGCTGTCTCTTTGATGATGTGCATATGGTGTGTGTCATACCCACACTCCTGTCATCCATCTCAGACAGGTGTGTGTCAGAGGGCGCCGGTTAAACAGATTACCATATTAACAGGTCCACTGAGGCTTTGCAGTGTGTCTCTTTCATTATCTCTCTTTCACCTTTAAACAAATTAACTGGAGTCACCGCAGCACCGCTGGGATTACGCCACCTCGGTGTCTTTCTCTTATAGACCTCTTCCTCTTTCTATCGCATCATTAGTCTTCTGCTCATCCAGTTGTCCCTCAGCTTTTGCTGTGGTGTGTATGTATGTCTCTGGCCCCTGTTGTTGTTATGCTCTTTTCTTTTCTGTCACTCATTTTTACTTATAGTTGGTCAAATTTCACCCTCGCCTCAGCCATCATTCAGCTAAAACACAGTAATGTTCCTCTGCTTTCTCTGATTAGAGATAGCTGTTACCGGACTTTTATTTTTTGTTTTTGTCATATTACAAAAGTAATTGATTGAGTATCATGTGGACTTCTTCTTTAAGAGGACAACTTGCTGCTCTGCTTGTTATTTAGCCTTGCAACGAATTAAAGGCACTTATTTTTGCAGTTTTTTTTTTACTCAGTGCATTGATGCCACTCCAGCAGGGGGCAATGAAAATCCAGAATAGCTTTTTCTTCAGCCAGATGTCATTGGAGGATAATGCTCACTTTTGGACCTCATAGGTTGCCCCCATTTACCCCCACATGTCATTTAACAGATACATATCTGTGCATGTGTGTGTGTGCCACAGAGAGAAAACAGCAGAGAGGTATTTTAGTGTACTGTACTGTCATCATATCTAAGAAGTCACATGTCATTATGCAAGGCTGGCACTGAAGCTCACCAGACTTGTAGTGTGGGTATGTGTGGGGCACTCCCTCAACACTGATCAGCTGTGGCAGCTCCCTGTCAGCCCCTCCAGAAATGCCACTTTGCAGACGTGTCATCCCACCCAGCCTGATCCCCAGTACTACGGCTGTCTGGAAGTCACATTACATAACTGTCTGTCTTCCCCTCTCCTGCAGCCTCTGTTCTTTTCTGTATTTATGCGGCTTTAACGTCTACATCTCACACTGCGCTTTCTTTCTTGCTCTTATAATCTGTTGCCTGATGGGCTTTTTCTCGCTTTTATCTTTGCCCTTACTCTTTCTGTCTTTTTACTTTCTCTGCCGAGTGTCACTTTGGCCATTTCTTTAAAATTGCTGCCAATAACACCTCAATCAGCTTGAACAATATTTAATCTCTGATTGGTGACAGAAATCTTACCCCGCATCCCTCGTTAGTCGTAGCCATCTTTTCATTTGTAAATGTTTAATACTCGTCAGCCAAAGACTTCATTTTCTTACTTGTCTTTAAAACAAAAAGTCTTATTTTATTGCAACATCAGTTTTTCTTTAAAAGCAAGTATCACTTCGGTGTTTTCAGTCGACTTTAAATCATAACTCTTCACTTCCACAGCAGTGAAAATGGATAAAATATTAGTGAAATTTCTGTCACTAATGGAATAATGCATCTCTCGCTCTCTCTGAATCTGTCTCTCAGGAAGGGGTTGAGTGAGAAAGAGGTGACATCTGAGGACAGAGAGCATGCCAAACGCGTTGTGTACTCTGTTGTTTATGGAGCAGGTGAGTACAAACACACCTCACAGAAAAGTGGTTTTGTCAATGAATAGGACAAATGATGAGTATGTTTCCAAATGAAAGCATAACAGGTTTAAGTGTCGTTGGTTTAGAAATGCAAGCAGTTCATAGTTTAAAGAGGGTAAATGAATCAGCATTATAGATCATTTAGAGTGCTGTGCAGCACTTAAGTGAAAGAAAAACAGCAAGAAGAGTCTGCAGTTTTATTCTGTGCGGATCAACTTTGTTTTTTGAAGCCAGCTTTAAGCGGCACATGGAGGAACTGCAGTTTTTGTTATTTCTACGTTGTCTTTGTTTTCCACCTCTGAAGGTTGCTCCTTGGTGTTTACTCAGAAATGTCCAGCGATTTCTGCTGGGACATACTGTAGCTGTTTTCCTGTTCCTTTTATGTACTGAATCACAGTCCTGAATCAAGGGATGGGCGATGGAGGGATAGAGAAAGATAAAAATAGACAGAAGAGAGCTGAAAGGAAGATAAATACATAAAACAGCCATGTGGCCCTTAAAGAGACTTGTTTGTGTGACTTGTGACCCATTTATGGTTCACACACAGGTGCATTTTCTTATGAACATGGACACACGTGACCACAGATTAGTGTCACAGGAGCTTGCTTGTTTGATTCTGGTGTCTGAAATATCTGCTGTTTGTATGCTTGTCATCAGGATTACACATAAACGTCTGAGTCATGAGTGTCATGAAGCTGTTGGAGAGGTGGAGCATGGACAAAGAAAGAATTGATTCTGTTTTGTTGTAGATCCAGATGACTTGGTAGAGAATATGCTCCACTGGCGTCCTGGCTCAGCATGTTTCTCTATCTGTGGATCAAGAATATTCTAGATTTAACTGAAGCTACATAACCAAAAGTAGGACATGAAAAAATTCACTTATTAAAACAATATAATTGACTTTAGGACAAAGCAGAAAAAAAAGAAATAATATTACTTTCAACATTGAGTAAAATAAAGTTAAACTATTTAATCTTGTTGTCACCATAACCACCTCGAGGTTGCGTTGGTCTGCAAGCCACTTTGCAACCCACCCCAGCCCCTCCCATCATTCTTTTTAGTTAAAGTCTGTCATTAATGTTGCGTGCGCTGTTCTGTACAGTGGTCTTGCTGCTGCTCTGTCTGTCTCCAGTATTCTGTGTTTGCACATGGAAAGATGATCATGTCTCACCAAACATGAAGTATGTAGTTGGAAATAACAATCTTATTCTGACTATACTGGACCTAACCGAACTACTGCTCCTGTGGATTTGTTAGACAATATCACGACAATGATCTGAAACACAGAATCTGCATTTAAGATTCATGCTTTGGACTTAATATGCTTCATTAAAAAATCTCAATCTGATGGTTTATTGTTCTGTGGCATTTCAGTCTGAGCTGGACTCACAGCTCAAAGACAGTCACTCTCAGACACGCGATACTAAATGAATCATTTTTTGTAAACTCAATAAACCCTTAACAATAACAACAATGAGAAGCACATATCAAAGCTACTCATGTGAGACATGCGTGCGGGGCAAAACATGCACGGACAAATCGCACAGGAAAAGGTTAAAGAAAAAATGCAGAGTCAGTATTAAGTGTTTGAAAGAGGGCAACAACGTGAGAGCGGGTAGTCAGATGAACAAAATATACAGTAAAGGGGAAAATGTGGCGATTTGTGCAGAGGGTAATGTAGGGGAAATGCACTGGCAATAAGCAGGCGGGGCCGAGAGGGAAACAAGAAGAGGAATGTAAGGAGCCGCTGATCCACGCAGACAGACGGCTCTTCATGGAGGGATGTGTTGCTATGGTTACAGAATACTAAAAGAATCCTGCTCAACAAGACAATAATCGGGTCAGGGAGGAGGGGCACAGCCGTACACATACATACATAGAGTGGGGCCACAAATAAGAAGGCCACGCAATGATGCTGACAGACAAAAGGTAGGATAGACTATAGACTGTACATAAAAGATGCCAATGTGGAAGAGACTTAAACCTGCATTCTTTATAATGGCCAGCAGGGGGCTTTCTAAATTAATCCCTATCCAACATCCGCCTGCTAAAAACCAGGGAACCAGGGATATTTCTGAAAATACTTCCTTAAAAAACTGTTTACCTGCAATACAGGCATACCAACTCATATACATTTTAATATTGATATGAGTGCATGATGTATGTATTTGTATGTTTTATAGTATTTATGTCAATAGAAAAAAACCTAAATATATATATTCTTTCCTGCATAAATGTGCCAGTCAATGCAAATACAGACTTAATATTGAGTAAAAGTCTATTTGATTTTATTGAATTTTATTGAATTTAAAGTATCTAAATTGTGTAATTGACCAGATCCTTGTATCACACTGCTACCCAGTAAACATTCTCTCCCTGATGTGCTTTAAGTCAAAATTACTGCCTTTTTTATGTTTTTGGGGTGTATTAAACCACTTTATTTCAAATTTATTTCAAGGAATCCAGATTTTAAGAAATATTTCTCTTTCCAATAGTCAAGCTGCAATCACAGTTGATGTTTCTCTATAAAGGTCAGACATCCTACACATCCAACACAATAGGGCTGTGTGTTTTCTGTCACGTGATTGTTGTGATGTTGAGTCCCTGCTTTAATCACTGTCACCATCACTGAAAAACACACATAGTAACTGTGTTGCCCATTAGCAAACCCTCTACACTCCTCTGCCCGGGCCCTGCTCTTGTGCTCATGCTACAGGCTGCACACCTTTAAAACCTCCTGAGCAAACACATCCACACCAGGTTTTTGTGTTCTAGTCTTCATCTCGACACACAAATACTCACCTCTAAGTCTCCCAGTGATCTTTTATCTTGTCCTTTTCATCCTCCCACTCCTCAGTTTGCTCTACTTTTTTTCCTTTGCCTTTCTCCTGCCCTCTGGTCCAGTCTGTCCTCTGTTCACTTAGCTCCTCTCAACTTCTCGGCCTCAGGCCTCACCTATCTGTCGCCACCATCTTTGGTCAGGAATTCTAATAATTATAATTATCTCCACTGAGGTGAATGTGATCAGCACCACCTGTTAAACTCTCCTTGCAGAGAATACATCTTCCAAGTAATTTGCATGTGAGAGGAAATCCAAGGAAAGCGAATAATGTCACAAAGCTAATCGCTGCATTTACCAGACATTACTCAGATTATACATGCATGTATTTTACATCATGCCCAATTCAAAACATTTGAGAAATGCACACTGCATCATACACCCTAACACACCCGAGTCTCCTGACATCGTAGACTAAACACATCCTCTCAAATATCCCATCTCTCCACTGGCATGTCAGCGCCACTGCTACCCTGCATTGCTGCCTGCCTGCATGCTCCGGGGGGGATATTTTATTCATCACTCGCCAGTTTGATATGTGTTATGTTTGTGGGGAGTGATGAGCTCGCAGCCTAGACGCCAAACTGTAACTTCTGCTCTCCTGCTGCTGTAATAAATCAATAATTTCATAGATCGCAGTTTTCTGACTGAACTGTTTGTTTCCTCCTCCCTGATACGTCTTATCACATGTAGGCCGCGAGCGTCTGTCGGGTATCTTGGGGGTTAGCAGTGAGCAGGCCAGCCAATTCCAAGATCGCTTCCTCCAGACCTACAGAGACGTCCAGGGCTTCATCCAGAGAACCATCCAGCAGAGCCACAAACAAGGTCTGTGTCCATTCACAGTCGTGTTGTATCTAATAAGAAGCTTGCCTCAAGGTTAACGAATATGTATTCCTGAAAGGAAAGAAGCTACTTCACAGAACTCAGTAGAAATATATCAAGAGTTAAAGAAAAAATTAAAAGTGTTTGTTGGTTTGTTTGCGTTTTGTGTGTGTCAGTCTGATTAGGCCTGCACTTTTGACATGCATAGCAGACTTTAGGTTTCTTAAGCATCCACACCCTCTGTGGATTTGTGTGTGTTTGGCTGGAGATGAAGAGATGTGCTGGATGGGCTGGAGATGTGCTTGCATTGGCAGGAAGAAGACGAACTGCCCTGGGTCAATACTTGAAGGGGACGGGGTGGATAAGAGGGGAGGGGCTGGAGGGTCTGATGGTTAGGACGAGACCCTTTATTTATATTCTGACCGAACTGCCAGCGCAGCACACTTGAGACTTGAACACAAAATAGTGTAAAGTCTGCACTTTAACCCTGATTGCGCATAGTGCACGAGCCAAGCGTGAACAGGGGGCGGGATGCTTCAGAACAGACCCTCTGACACTCACTGACTGCTGTTTGAGCTAATCTCGCCCTCCAGCCAAGGATCTAATCCCTTCTTAACTTTATCTTATGTGTGCTATATTGACTTTCCCCTCGCTAAGAAAAACACTAGCTAATTACAGAGTAAACCAGATAAATTAGCCGACATCAGTGAGAAACATTCAGCTGTGTCACTATGTCAGCTTCAGATTCTTTGTCAGGCTGTGGCCGCGCAGAAAAACAGCATTTATCTGGTCTAATAAATGTTGAAAAATAACCTCATTCTGTAGCAGACATCAAAAATGAGGTCAGACCAGTGGATGTGTTTCACGCCAGCTGCAGCGGCGCACACCTTTTTTTTTTTCTTCACAAACACCGACACGCCGTTACACACAGACAGGTGCTCCATCACCCTCAGCACTGGTGACACAGCCCACTACCTGCTCATCACTTCCCCTTTCTTCTGCAATACGGGCACCGATCGAAGCACCGTAATGGACTCATTCTTTCAGACCGCCGTGCAGAGATCGCAGTGGAAGCCTCCTCGTTCTCAGGGCCAGAGCGATGATGTGCCAAACAGGGGCTTTAATTCAGCCCATCACCATGGTGATGCTCCCATCAGGGACGGCTCTAGAAGTTATTCGCCCCACACTCTATGTCTGTGTGTCCCTCTCTCATCCTGTCCATCAGTCTGTCTCTTTCGTTCCTTTCTCTCTTCAACCTCGCGTTTTTGATCCACGCTACAGTCTTTATGTTTCATCTTTCCCTTTTCTTCCCCTCCCTTATACCACAGCAGCAGGTTAGCTGATCGATAAAACAGCCTTCTTGAATCAATGCTAGCAGCGGCAGCATACTGTATTACACCAGAGTCCCTGGCTGTTTTAGCTGCTGTGCTGTGACTCAGGCAGCAGGGATTAATATGTGCTGTAGCCTCTCGCCTGCTCTGCACAGCTGATCTGACACTACGATGTTTTGCTCAGAAGGATGTTGACTGAGCAGAGATGAGATGAACAGAGCCACCTCATCTGCTGTCATATTTGCTGAAAATGTATTGGAAAGGGCAATACGAAGGTGAGGTCAGCATCACGGTGTCGGCGTAATTGCAGAGGGGCAAGAAAAGGAGGAGCTGTGTGGAAGTAAATGAGGGCATCAGCCAAGAAGGAACAAGGCAGAGATGAAGAAAAACCAGGGTTGTTTTGATTGTTTATGCCAAACCACAAAAATGATTCAGTCACAGCTGCATTTCTCATAATGGTTGACACTCTGTTTGACACTCTTTGCCACCACTGTGGGTAAGCCTCTGCTGTTGTTCCTCACATCATGCACTTTTTATTGAAATTCTTCAGATTATTCCTGAGATGAAAAGATGAAAGCAGGTGGAAGTTGTGTTTTGTTTTTCTTTTAAACAGTGGGGAATCACAGAGATCACAAAAAACAGTGAAGCCTTCTTAAGGCTACACTGACATAGGGAGGACTAGCTATGCAAGGATATGAAAACACTCTCATGAAGACGTCCTGTTGCGATGTCCTATTGTTCATGCACAGGTGCATGCAGTTCTCCTGCAGACAGTAGAACTGTGAAATACTTGTCATAAATAAAATAAAAGGAGGCTGTCGTTTCACTGCTCATTTCACATTTCATGCTCTGCACATGTAGTCTCAAATGGCTGCAACTCTCAGCTGTGCACACAGCTTTTGTTCAGTAACTACGTAACTCACAGATAAGTTTAATCCTGAAATACTACTTCACCAATATTTTGAGATTTTCAGTTTATGGTGGATGTATTTCACAAATGTTACCAATTTTTTATAATTAGTAGATGTTGATGCTACAGTATAGTGTGAACAGTTCAAGCCTGCTCAAAGACGCTTTTGACAATTTAGGTCAAAAACAGGTTGTTTTAATCCATTGCAAGATAATTGCAGGGAAACCTAAGGACATCATAATATATCATTATATCATTGCTTATCAAAACATCACCTTTTGTGGATATAACGGAAATGTTATTGCCATGAAATAATAATGATACGCTGCTTTTATAAGGTGTTATAGGTGCACAAATGGTAAAAAAGGTCATTTTTAGCCTGTCGCTAGATGGTTGCAACATGATAATAATATCTGATATAGATAAGAACCTACAGGGGTCTGAAATGACTGAGAAAGATTTGTGCTGTGGTGATAAAATAATTAATCCCTGAAAACCTTTCAGGGATTAATTATTTTACATGATCAAACCTTAAGATTAAGCTGAAAACATTTCAGTACATTAGGCAACATCACCACAATCAGTACCAATAAAATCTTTTCTGTTGTCAGTAAATATTACAATATTTTTCATACCTAAACTGAAATAAAAATCAGATTCATATTCAGAGTTATTCAGAGTCGTTTTATATATGAGTAAAGCTGTTATAGGCTGTGTTTTTATACCAACAGTTGATCACATAACAGTTTGACTGGTCACATGGAGTAATCGAGCCTACAGAGGTTTTCCCACTCTGTCTTACATAATTTATAACTTACTTTTGTGTAGCTGTCTTTGTCGTGGTCCCAGAGTTTTAACCTTTCAATGTCTTGAATTTTGTTTAGAATCAAATGTTCTGTATCTTTTTTCACTGTGAGCTAGGGCTGTGCGATATGACCAAAATCTCATATCCCGATATAAGAATTCTATCGTCCGATAACGATATAAATCACAAAAATGTAACATTTTCTGTAAATTCTGTGAATCTCGACTTGCGGGAAGTGTTTCCAGCTGCGCGTCATGTAGCTGGAGTCGAGTGTTTTAACCGATGCATGAAACTATACATTTTTAGACATAAGTTGTAAAGGCCGCCGTTTTCTTTGTGAGTATTTATTACACGGCGTGCTGCGGGGAAAAGCCTGTTCTAACGTTTGAGTCTAAGGTTTATTTTTTAGCACCTGGCGGCTCTTTTTTAATTCTCATCCGTAAATAATCTGCTCTTTCACGTGATTCAGTTTATTTTGAAAAGTCTCAACAGGATCTTGAGCTTTATTGTGAAAGGTTTATGTGGAACATAAACAAGCGGACACGCGATGCTGTTACCGTCGTTGTTGCTAACCACAACGCATAAAAACAGGCGCTTGTCCGTCCGTAGTGTGGTTATATAAAATATAAGAGAAAGAGAGAACTTTAAGAAATTAATATAGCCACTACAGTGACCATCAAAACGATGAAAAAATATTGCCGTAAACAGTTTATTTTGCGACACCACGAAACAAACGATAGCGTAAAATGAAACGATAGACGTTTTTATATCGTCATCCGATATATATCGTTATATCGAACAGCCCTACCGTGAGCCTGTGTTATACGTTTTTTCTTGATTGCTTTAGGTTTTGAGTTTTATTTTCTTGTTACAGTCGAGTTCTTGTCATGAATCGCTGTGCGGCAGGCAGGAGTTGGACCCAAAATGCAGGACTCACAGACTCGGGAATGAACTCAAAACACAGCCATCACGTAATGTCGCATACTGCTGTTTCTGATGTCATTAAGAAAAAAAAAAAAAAAAAAAAAAAAAAAAAAAAAAAAAAAAAAAAAAAAAAAAAAAAAAAGAAAAAAAAAAATAAAAAAAAAAAAAAAACAGACAAACTAAACTGGGAACAACAAACTAAAACTCACAGGGAGATCCACACAGCATGAGGGACGACACGACACTGACTCAGAGAAACACAGGGTTTAAATACACTGGGAAGTAACGAGGGGAATGAGACACAGAAGGAGGGCACAGCTGGGAGAAATCAGGACTGACGAGACAAGCAAAGCAGGACACATTCACATAAGACACGGACCTTCAAAGTAAAACAGGAAGTATCACACAGAGACGCGAACTTGACACAGTGGAGACAGCAACTAAGAAACACAGAGACATAAACCATAAGGCAGAGGACTCTAAGAACCGAAAGACACAGAGGGGAACTCAAACATGCAGACACAGACTTACACAGAACAGAGGGGACACAGAGAAACATGAAGGGCAAGGGATCGAAACTAGAAACCATAGAATAACTCACACAAGTACAATAATACAAACATCACAAAGAACTAAAAACGCTGGGTCAGGAGACCCAGGACCACGACAGTTCTAGATGGTGTTTATGGAGTTTGTTATTTGTTTAGTTTCCACAGGGCTCCTTTTGTTTGCTGTCTTGTGTCTCAGTCAGTAGTCTCACTGTTTTACTTCTTCTGTGTAGTTATTTAGATTTGGTTAAGCTGTTACTTGTTACCCTCTTGTGTTCAATCCTCAAGCAGTGTGTGTATAAATAATCCTGTCATTCCTTTAGTGGCTGTTATATCATCATGTGTCTGATTTTCTTTGTAGTTTGTTTTGTTACTTGTGTTTTCATGGACTTAGTGTTACTTTTGGATTATGAGTTTTGCGTTTTTATTGATGTACTTGGAACGTCAAAACTAAACTAAACTACTCCTCAAGTTAACTTTAAACA